TTTATCACTCTCAAGTAACCGTCTCTCTAGTAATATTTTTGTCTTTAAGTCCATTTTGTAGATTAGTAGTTTATCAGCTTTGTTTATATGAATTTAACCTTTCTGTGTTTGACTATCTCCATCCATTTGAACAAAATACTTATTCTATTTAGTAATGTAGAGTTTCTTTTCAGCCACTCTTTGTGCTTCATTTCTTCCCTTTCATCTTGTATTTCTTTCATCTACCAGAGATTGAACCCAGAACATATCTTATACCTATGAGTCATATCCCAGGCCCTTGTTTTAACACCTAAAAATTTAGTCTAGAAATTTGTTTTGAGTTTTTAAAAATATACCCTTTCTTATCTTCTGATGGTTATTCTACAAATTTTAATATAGACACCAAACTTTAAAGCTTAGTTAATATAATTCTCCCTTAAAAAAAAATTAAGGCATTCAGAAACTCCTAATTTATATGCCATGGTCATCTTTATTTTATTTTATTTTTTTGCTTTTTGGGTTACACCCGGCGATACACTGGGGTTACTCCTGACTCTGCACTCAGGAGTTACTCCTGGTGGTGCTCAGGGGACCATATAGGATGCTGGGAATCTAATCCAGGTAGGCCACATGCAAAGCAAACGCCCTACCTGCTATGCTGTCTCTAAAGCCAGTTCATCTTCTATTTTAATTCAATTTTGTTAATCCCAAAAGATAACTCTGGCCTTCTAGAGTCTCAGATTTTTCATTTGTTTTGATTTTTTTTTTCTTTTAAGCCACACCCACCGTGGGGGTGCTCCAGGATCACTCCTGACAGTGCTTGGAGGACAGTATTTGATGCCAGGAAAGGAATCCCTTATACGGTGGCTCTGTATAAAATAAGCTGCTCTAACCACTGTACTATCTCTCTGCCCCTTAGATCTTCTATTTAGAAAGAAAGTCTTTTTCTGTGAATTTAGTATTCTTGCAGGTTGAGTAGGAATATAAAATGGTACTTCAGCTTTGGAAAATAGTTTCTTCAGATCCACAAAAAGTTAAACAGCGAGCTACAATATGAACCCAACAATTCTATTCCTACATAATGAACCCAGGAGGAATAAAAACAAATACATTCAGCTTTGCTTACACACACACACACACAAAGTATTATATATTATATAGTATATATATTCCCACCCCCACACTGCTCCCCCAACTCCCAGCAGTACTTGGCCTTGAAGAGTAGCCCTAATGATGTGGTGCTTGTTTCTGCTGGTATTAGGGATTATCAGGGCCACCCTGATGATGCTGGGGGGCTGCGAGGTCTAAATCTGGTGTTGTACCAAGAACCATACAATGCTGGGGACCAAATATGGAGTCTTGGCCAGAAAAATAACATGGGAGGTAAGACATTGGTCTTGCACACAGCTGATCCCAGTTGAGTCTTTAGTACCATTTATGGTCCCTGAGCACTGCTAGGAGTCACTCCTGAGTACAGGTGTGTCACTCCCCCAAACCAGCAAAACCAAAAACACTCATTTTAAAATCCGGCACCTGTAAGGCATGCACTCCTCCCCTTTGAGCTATCTCTCCAGTCATCATCCTTTTAACTTACAGGAACCAATAACCCATCTGTACTGGTTAGTGATAAAGACTGGTGGCAGGTCCCTCCAACTCCCATCCTCCCATCCTGAAAGTAAATAACAATGTCCTCCAATTTATGCTATTGTTGATGACTAATTAACTGGCTATTAGCCATAAGTTATTCCTTAGTTATTCCTATCACTCAAACAGTTATTCTAGAAGTTTCACTATGATTTGGGAGGATTACTGCTTGGGTGTTGAATTGCTTAAATTATGGTTGGCTTTTTTCCCATTCTGGAAGATTCTTCAGTTACTGTCTCTTCAAGTAGTCTCCTCCCACCCCCATTAGCTATGTGATTTTCTTTAGTAATTTTGACCAAATTAATGATTATATTCTATGTTCTATCATGTAATCCTAATATTTCCTCTATTGTTTACATTTTGGATTCATTCTTCACTTTGTTTTACAACATATAAATTCTAACGTTGTGTCTAATGTGTCCTCAAAGACAATCATTTGAGTAAATCCCACGTATTATTATCAAATCAAATAATGATAACCTTTTTCAAAATCATCTTTGGAGGTGATACACTTCAATGAACTGTTTTGCTTAAAACATTTTGGAATTCTTCAAAAATTATCTTCTAGTCCATGTTTCCTCTGCTAGTGCTGAATTCTTTCTAGTCTGATAATCTCTAATAATAAATTCATAATTAAAATTTTTACCTTCTATGTCAGTTTTTTCTCTATACTGACAAGTCTCAGTGACAGTGATTACAGTAATCCATAAATTGATTTAACTTATAAAGAATGAGAAGTTACCTCACTTACCAAATATATATATATGTATATATATATATATCAATCTTCTCTATAAAAATTTGGAGCATATTAGTAAATGTACTAAAGCAATAAAAATTTTAACACAACTCTTTTCACCTTGACGGAGATGGAGAATGACAATGTGAGACGTTGGCAAGAGTACGGGAAATCAGGCACTTTCATATATGTATCTGCTAGGAATGAAAATTGGTAATCTTCACAAAGAACAATTTGACTGAAATCTTTGTTTGGGGGCCACATCCAGTGGTGCTCAAGACTTACTCCTGACTCTGTCCTCAGGGTCACTCCTGGTGAGCTCAGGGGACCATATGGAGTGCCAGGGATGGAACCCAGGTAGGCCATATAAAAGGTAAATGCCCTGCCTGTTGTAACATTGCTTCAGCCCCAAGAAATCTTAATTTTTTTACTCCTTCTAACGATTTATCATAAGGACATAAGGACATTTATCATAAGGACATAAATCCAAGATACTTGTTTATGGGGATTTAAATTAATAAAAAATTTAAATTATGGCTAATTAATTATCTATGGTTAATAGATATTAATATAGGGTTGGAGTGATAGCACAGCATGTAGAGCATTTGCCTTGCATGCGTCCAACCCGGGTTCGATTTCTCTGCCCCTCTGGAAGAGCCCGGCAAGCTACCATGAGTATTCCGCCCTCACAGCAAAGCCTGGCATGCGACCCGTGACATATTCGATATGCCAAAAACAGTAACAACAAGTCTCACAATGGAGACATTTCTGGTGCCTGCTCGAGCAAATCAATGAACAACAGGAGGACAGTGCTACAGATATTAATATAGCTTAAAATAATTTACAATATATTAAGAAAAACAAGGGATAAAACAGTAAGTTTCCATGTTTATATTAAAATGGGATGGAGCAATAGTATAGCAGGTGGGGCGTTTGCCTTGTAAACAGCCAACCTGGGTTTGATCCCTGGTACCTAATATGGTCCCTGAACCTGCCAGAGTGATCCCTGCCTGAGTGCAGAGCCAGGAGTAAGCCCTGAGCACCACTGGGCATGGCCCAAAAACAAAACAAAACAAAACAAAAAAAAGTGAGCAAAGAAAAAATTTCCTGCAATATTCAGGCCATCTCTGGATTATAACTATTTAACTTTTTTTTGCCTAAGTTTTCTACAGTGAGTATTAATTAAACATTATTGAGTTATTTTACTTTTAGTATCAGAGTAGCTAACCACCTATTACAAAAAGATTTCTATGGGGAAATGTAGTTCTGATAAAATAAGATCAGTAATGCACTTCTCACAGTACTGGCAATGAAAAAATCCTTCCTCATAACACATTCTACCACTGTCATCATTCTACCTAAAATTCTGCCTCCAAGAATGGAAAGTTACTTCTAAAGGCCTGACAGAATAAATAGGGAGGGAGGGGCTGGGATACAAAAAGACTGGAAATGAATGTTCACTGAGGAATGAACTCCTAGACTTTCAGGAGAAGTTTTAGGAACGGGTCTTGGTTGGAGGAGAAAAAAAGAAGAAAAAAAAAAGTAAGTTCCAGGAGTAAGTCAGCTCTCACTTTCCCCCTGTACCCAGATGAACATTCACCCACTTCTGGATCACCCGACCAGGTTCCACCCAACCGTTTAAGGAGAAAACTCAAAGACATCCCAGCACCACCGATCTGGAAAAAAAAAAAAGAACACCATCTGCCCGAAAGCAATGGTACAGGGTGCACCTGCGTCTTCCCTAACTCACTGCGCCCTCACCCCGGATCCTTTTAGGGGCGGCGCCGGGTCCTTTCTTCTGAAATACTCCCACTCCCTCCCCAGCCCTAACTCGATGGATTAATTCGATTTTTTTTCTAATCTTAGTCCACGTGCCGCTTCCTTGGAGGAGGAAACCCTGACCCTCCGAGTCGCAGGGCACGGCTGGTCCCTCCCCGCTAAACCCGCATTAGGACTTCTCCAGCGCTGCCGGGGAAGAGCGCGCGCGCACGCGCGAGCGGAGCCCCGAGTCCCCGAACCCCGGCGGGGCCGCGCCACGGGCGGGTCGGGCTCCACGGCGCGCCCCCGCCCCGGGCACAGCCCGTGCGCCCGGCCAGTAAATACCTGCTGCGGGCGGAAATGAAAACGGCAGGAGGGGGGCTCGGACCCCCTAGACCGACCGTGGGGGTCACCTGGGGCGGGGGCGGGGAAGGGTAAGGGAACTGTGTGCCACTTGCCCCAGCTCGGATTGCTGGTGCATTTCCGGTACTCGCACAACCAAGTTTGGGGGGAGGAAAAAACCCCAAAATGCGTTCTTTCGCAGATACCCCTTAAGTGGACCGAAACCTTCTTTTTCTCCTGCTATTATTGTTGTTGTTGTTATGATGATGCTCATTTTCCTTTTTGCACGGCCGGGTCTGGGCACCGCATCCTCCTCCCTCCACCGAGACAGGTGCTTCCCGGCCCTGCGCCGCATCCCGGGGGCTGCTGCCCGGGCACCGACGCCCCACGCGCCGGAGCGCCCTCCCCTCCGGCCCCGACGGACGCGGGGCGGCGGGCAGGGCCGTCGGTGCCCCGCGGGCTGCCGGACGCGCGGCCCCGCGAGCCGGGGGTGGGGTGGGGGAGACAGGCGGGCGCGGGGGTCCCGGGCCGCGCTTACCCGTCGGGCGAGTACTCGAGGTTGAAGACGGCGCCGTGGGTGCGCGTGCTGAGGTACACCGAGTCGGCGGGGTGGATGGAGCCGTAGAGGTTGGTCATGGCGCGGAAATTGTCCCGCGCCGGGTCCACGCACGGCCCGCGGCCCAGGCCGCGCTCCCGCAGCCACCCGAACAGGCCGGCGCCCGGCGGCCGGCGCGGCGGCGGCGGCGGCGGCGTCCACGGCTCCCCGGGCCCCGGCGCCTCGGCCGCTCCCGGCTCCCCCGGCTCCCCCGCGCGCGCCGGGGACAGCGCCGGGGCGCGGCCCGGGCAGCGGGCGGGCGCCGGCCCCTCGGCCCCGCCGCCGCCGCCGCCGCCGGCCGCCCCTCCCGGGCTAGCGGGCCCGAAGGGAAACATGACCGACGCCCCCGCCCCCGCGCCCGGCCGCGGCCCCGCCGCCGACAGCTCAGCGCGCCCGCTGCGGCCGCCACTTCCGGCGCGCCGCCGCCTAACCTCTCCGGCTGGGAAACGCGCGCCGCGGGGACCGGGAACGCGGGGACACCGCGGGCCCGGCCGGCTCGGCCACTGCCCCGCTCCCCGGGCCCGGCCGCCGGGTGGCTGCTTTCCCCCACGCAGCGCAGCAGCAGCAGCCTAGCGACGTCGGGCGACGGTCTTTCAGTGACGGTGACCCGAGGGGGCGTTTGTGCCCTGGCCTCTTGAAAAGCCGCCCCCCCCCCCCCCCAAAAACCAGCAGTTCTGTGCGGGCCACTGCACGTGACTTGCCGCCTTTGCATCTCGAACCCGAGCTTCGCCCGGTCACGGTGCGCTCGACAGCCTCGTCCCCAGCGCGCCGGCGATGATGCCCGCGGCCCGTGGGTGCCCGCTGAATGTCCCACTCCGCGACTTACCGCCCAATTGGGCAAGTCTTTATCAAGACCCAAGCTTTCCTCCTCCGGGAGCGCGTGTCCAGGAGCCAGGAGGCCCCTCGGGAGCTGGAGACCTGAGTCCAGGCCAAGTCATAGAGCTGGGCGCCTTGGACCTCTGACAGATGCAAAGCCCTCGTGCAGTGCCAGTGAAGATAAACACCCAAAAGCCGGGTGTGGGAAAGGCTGAGCCTCAAGGAGATTGGGGAGGAGGGAGGAATCTTCCAGAAAAGTCCTCTCGAGATTCAAGGAGAGGACAACCGACAGCTTCCAGACCTAGACCAAGAGCCCCTTGTTGTCCAGGGATGGGAGCAATAGTACAACTGGAAGGGTGCTTCTCCTGCAGGTGGCCCACCCGGGTTTGATCCTAGGTACCCCATACGGTCCCCTAGAGCCTGCCAGGACTGATCCTTGACCACCGGCTGCACCACCCGAGTGGCTCCAAAAAGGTCTTGTTTTGGAGACCTCACATTCAGTGACAGTGAGGAAGGAATCCTGCTAGGTACATCACAAGGATCCGGGAGGAAGGGAAAGAGATTTACAGGGTTCTTCCACCAAGGAAGCAAGTTCTCAGTTCTCCTGGTTGAAAAGGAGAAAGGAGCAGGAAACAAGAGACCCCAGTTCAGGGATCAAAGTGGCTGTTCCTCTGAGACACTGGTGCCCACACAACGAGGAGGAGAGGACATCCTCGGTTCATGATCAACAAAGAACGACACTTTACGACCTACAGCTTCTGGCTGTAACAGCTGATTAGCAGAGACCCACTGATTCCCAAGTTATGACCACTGGCCAAACTTTATGGTCTATAAAACCTCACCTTAGTTGTTGCAACAGAATTCGCTCAATCACGCTGAGACCATTCTTCGGCAAGAAAGCAAGGAGATCTTATCAATTAATGTCTAGATGGGCCACAACGGCACAGTCATCTGAAATGGCAGCTCCCAACAGGGGTCCAGAGTGCCTTATGTCGTAAAATTTCTGGCAACATAGTACACTTGTGGACAAAGGGGAGAAGAGCAAAAGAATGGAATTGATCAGTTGTGTTATGACAACATTTTGAGGAACAGTGTGGTAGGAGGGGCACAACATGGGACTTAGAAGGGGCCCTTGTACCTGGGAATCTTTGTGGTGGATCCATTTTTTCACTTCCGTACTAACATGAGACACTGGTGCCCACACAACCAGGAGGAGAGGACGTCCTCTAATAGACTAATGGTACTAATTGTTTCTGTGACTCCCAATCCTGCTCTTTGCCTAGGTAAACAGGTCGGCCTGGTTCTCCTGTTCTGTTCTGGTCAGTTTTATGATTTATGACCTATTCTCTTTGCCAGGTTCCCATAATGGGTCGCTCAGAGGCTCCTGCCTCTTACATTTCACTCCAGGGTTTCTACCTGCTTGTATTTCTAACTTTCCCACCCTACAACAAAAAATAAGGCATTTTCATTGAGAGCAGGGTGAGTGAAACTGCAATTTAACCCTTCATATCACATGATAATTCATGGGCTTACTAAACAATTTTATCACTATTGTTTTTTTTTGTTTGGGTGCTATACTTAGCTTACATCTGGTCAGCTGCATGCATGCCAAGTGCCCTATCCACTCTACTCTCTCCAGCCCCTACACGGTCACGGTCACGGTCACGGTCCTCCCGTTGTTCATCGATTTGCTTGAGCGGGCCAGTAACGTCTCCATTGTGAGACTTGTTATTACTGTGTTTGGCATATTGAATACGTCTCGGGTGGCTTGCCAGGCTCTGCCGTGCGGGTGAGATACTCTCGGTAGGCTTGCCAGGCTCTCCGAGAGGGGCAGAGGAATTGAACTCGGGTTGGCCATATTGGCTGCGTGCAAGGCAAATGCCCTACCGCTGTGCCCCCAGCCCCAACATAAAATTAATTTTTATTATAATTTTTTAGTTTTGGGGCCAAATTCAGAATTGCTCAGGGGCGATTTCTGGCTCTGTGCTCCTTGGCATTGCTCCAGAGACCATATGTAGTGCCCGGGATTAGAAACAGGGTATGGCTGCTTGCAAGGTGAAGCCCCTTACCTCCTGTTCTACCTCTGTGGTCCCTACACTCAATTTTAACAGTTTACAAAAGGGTTAGGGAGAGTTCAGAGGGCTGGGGTGCATGATATGCATATGGAAGGCTCAGGTTCAGTCCTTGAAACCTCCTGGTCCCCTGAGTTTTAGGAATAAAACCCTTAACAGTGAGTCAAGAATAGCCCCTGAACACTGCTGAATTGTGACCCCAAATCAACCAGTCGTATTTCGAGGTATTTAAGATACGATTCAACAAAAATCACAAGCTCTACAATGAGAGTTTGTACTGTGGCTCAGATTTCACAGTTCAAGTAATTAACAGGAACAAGGCGTTCCTCTAGTCTGATTAAGAACTTTCACTGACAACAGAGATCCTAGAGAAACCAAGTGGAAATGAAAACATTTTGGAGATTTGTATTTAATTCTTACCAGCTAAAGAATGAGAATGATTCACTGTTTGGTCTTTAAGGTAATACTACAGTTTGTTCTCGTCGTGTTTACCTTCCCAGCCCTTCCCTTGGTTGTTATCTGACCAGCACATCTGCTTGTGGAGCTCACGCACTCGGCCATGGTGCTCACCGAGTGGGCCTTATATTGATCCCAAACAAGGCACAGTAACTGCAAAATTAGTAGGCAACATATATAGCACCTACTGTTTGCCAAGAAAACACTCCATGTTATTTAACTCTCATTTAAAAAATCCTAGGATGTAGGTCTGGTGAGATAGTATAGTGGATTGCCTTGCATGCGGCCCACCTGGGTTTGATCCCTGGCACTTCATATAATCCCTCAAGTACCTAAGCACAGAGCCAGGAGTAAGCCCTGAGCACTGCCAGGTATGGCCCCCAAACAAAATAAAACAAAAATCCTAGAGTATAGCACTTTTTAAAAAAATTTGTCAACGTATCTTGGCAAAAGAACAAGTAAAGTGACTTCCTCAAGATGACAAAGATGGACTCTCAATCCATGTGAACTAGATTCCAGATACTATTGTCACCTTAGTTGAAGCAAAATACTGGAAACCTCTTATCACCCCCAAATAGAAGAATAGTTTGGCAAACCACGGCACCGCGGCACACCCTGTAGTCAAGGAGCAGGCAATGCCTGAGAGACTAGCCCAAGTAAGCAGGGGTCTGGCAAGGTGAGAGGGCCCTTCTCAGCAGGGCAAAGGGAACATTAGACTAGCCCCAAGCAGTATTTTTCTTCAGCTCTTTCCCAACTGCTGCCTCATCTTCCTGTAGACTTGAGCTCCCCTAAAGAAGCCTTGCTCCCCCTTCTGTACAGCCTAGTGCCCAGGAAGACAGCCCCATGGCACCTGGAGCTTCCACTCCCAAGCGCTTTCAAACTTATCAAGAATGGGTTCCAGAGATAGTGCAGGGGTTAAGATACTTGCCTTCCCAGCCAACTCTTGTTCAATACCTTATGCCACATGGGATCCCTGAGCCCTTCCAGGAGTGACCCTGAGCACAGAGTCAGGATTAAGACCTAACCACAGTTAGGGTTGGCTCAAAACATTAAAGAGAAAAAAAACCCAAGAAAACATAGGAACAATGAACTGCATCAATGCTCAGTGATGTCATGTCACAAAACTTTAGGACAAAGGGTGTTTCATTATAGATGGGTTCATCAGGAAGGCCTTTCTTTTCTTTCCTCTTCTCTCTCTTTTTCAATTGAATCACTATGAATTACAGACTTATAAAGTTGTTTATTAAGTTTCATGTGTACAATGTTCCAACACCAATTGCTTCACCAGTGTCTACTTTCTTCCCCAGTTTCCCCACCATCCCCAACCTGCCTCTGGGGGAGGCCTTTCCCATCCACTGTTCTCCTGGTGCTCCCTTCCCTGACTTAAAGCTCTCTTACCCCACCCCAGTGGCAAGCTTCCTATTGAGGATCAGTCCTACTCCTCCTTCCTCCCAGATCTTTCTGAAGTACCTCACAAGATTCCTTCCTTTCAGTCACTGAATGAACTCCATGACAGGATCTTTTTTTTTTCTTTTTAGGTCACACCCAGTGATACACAGGGGTTACTCCTGGCTCTGCACTCAGGAATTACTCCTGGCGGTGCTCGGGGGACAAGGTAAAGGTAAAGGTAAAGGCCCTCCCGTTGATCGTCGATTTGCTCGAGCGGGCCCAGTAACGTCTCCATTGGAGACTTTGTTGTTACTGTGTCTGGCATATCGAATACTCTCGGTAGCTTGCCGGGCTCTCCGAGAGGGGCGGAGGAATCGAACTCGGGTCGGCCATGTTGGCCGCTTGTAAGGCGAACGCCCAACCCACTGTGCTATCGCTCCAGCCGACAATTAAGATACAATTCAACAAAAATCACAAGCTCTACAATGAGAGTTTGTGCTGTATGGGATGCATACAGTGGGATGTGGGAATGGAACAGGGATCGGCCACGTGCAAGGCAAATTTTCTACCCGCTGTTCTATCGCTCCAACCCCAATAGGACCTTTTTGGAGCCACTCTGGTG